GGAGCTCTGGTGGCCTAGTGGCAAGAAGCTGCACTGCAATCCCAGAGGTGCATGGTTCAAATCCACCAGATGCTCTGCTGGAGAAGGAGGGACAATGCCCTCCTGTACCACTCAGATCCGATATAATAGTACACATGCACACAAAAAATAATTTAAAAAGGGAGAATTTCTATAAAGTAGAAATGAAGAGTCACAAGTATAAAAGATATTAAAAATACTTTTCCATTTCTTTTCTAGTCATGAAAGCCATTTGAGTTTGGTTGGCTCCTCTGCTTTTCATATTCCCAACACTTAACACATATCAGTCTTGGTGACACAGTGAATTGTTGAGCTGCTATCTGTAAGGTGAGCAGACTGACTTCATGAGCTGCTGTGGGCAAATGATGAGGCAGCCTGGTTCAGGGACTGGGGTAATGGGGGTATATGTGTCAGAGACAATAAGACTGGCACAGGATAGAGCATGGCTTAGGGCTGTTGTATATTGGGTTACTATGAGTTGCAGGTGACTCGATGGCACATAACAACAACAATACCTAGCACAATGCTCAATTAAGATCTTTTGAATAAACTTTTGAAGCTCCTGTAAAGGTTAACATGGAGTCTAGCAAACCCTAAGAATGTTTCCAAAGCACCACTTACGCAGGAGTTGATTGTTAGCAGCTGAAATAAACAGGCAGCACATAGAGTCCTATTCTTTTCCAGTTTAGAGAAATGATTTGTAGGCTTTTAAAAATACTATGTTCAGTAAAGCTTGAAAAGACAATATAATACTTGTACACACATACATACACTCCTTTCCTCATCAACATAGTTAGTTAGGTTCCAAAGACCAGGTCGATATGCAAAAATCAGCCCTATGAGAATATAAGATGACCTTTTAAGATCTCAAAGTGAGGGCTAATGCATTACATACCGGTCAAAGTACATTATTAATTACATAATTGTTAAACAACTGAAAATCATGACTCAGCTAAGGTGACACATAACCTTAACTATCACACACAGCATGACTCTTACCTCACATCTCAGCATTTGATATTGCCACGTGCAAGTTGTTAACTCAAAAAACAGCTGGACAGTAGGCTTTTTACTATAGTCACATAAATGTGAAATGTCAGCTAGTAAGGCAGTTGGTAAGTGGGGAGTACTTATGTATCTCTTACTTACTTTTATACATTGATTCCAATTCTTCCATTGCTTTTTCGGCTTCCTGAATTTCTTCGTAAATGGCTGCAAGTGGCGCCAACTCAGTATGCCTTTGGTTCAAGGCCCGTTGTTTGCCTGTGTTCACAGAGATATGCTGCCAACACTGATCAAGTTTCTGGTACTCCGTAATGAGGTCCTCCATGTACTTCTGGACTGCTTTCCGCTTCCACAGCATTCTGGTATGACAGTACCTCTTGGGCAAAATATTATCTGACAGAGAATGGAGAAGAGGATCCTTGTTTTGTCTAAAAATGCACAACCTCGTGTCAAGCTGTATCTGTCGAAATTGTTGAGACTGAAGGCGGATATGACATTGGTGGTAACCATTAAGAGACAGATGTCTAAAAAGCCAAAAACACAGATGGCGACTCATGTCAGCATCTGAAAAAGACAAACACATTTGGTAAAAACCCACTCTGCAGACATATGGCATGAAAGAGTTGGATGGAGCTTTAAGAAATCATATTCAGCTACTGTTGCAGCCAAATGCAAAAAAACAGAAGCAAAATACACCAACTCACAAAAAAAAAAAAATACTTTTTTAACTCTCCGAGTGATAAAATATTAAAATAAATAAAATATGCTATTGTTTTTCTACCCAATCTATAAAAGTCAGGAAAATGTTGGCCTGGTAAATAAAGAATTGTGCTACCAACCCAGAAAAGGCAGTTCAAATCTACCGGGTGATCCACAGGAGAAAAATGGGCAACCTCTTCCTACGCAATTTACAGTTTCTGAAATCCTACAGGAGGGTCAGCTGAGTCAGCTCAGACTTGAAAGCAATGAGATAGAGAGATATAAAACACATTGTTGTTGTTGTGTACTGTCAAGTCTGAACAGACCCATACCTGATCCTCCAGTGGGCTTTCAGAGGCCCTGGAAGAGAATGCCCATCTTTCTCCCATGGAGCAGCTAGCTGGTGGCCTTGAACATAACTAAGGTAAATGAGTAATCATATAACTAACAAATTAATCTAGAGAATGGGCTAAGTCAGCTATTTTCTAAAATACTGAACTGAGTATGTGTACAAGCACTTAAACATATGAAATAATCATACAGACTTTAGGTAATTCCTATATTTCATAAGTTTTCTTGTGCATGAAGGGAATACTTCTTGTTATCTTGTCTAACTTATTTTTCATTTTTGGTTCAAAGAAGTCAAGTCACTGAATCACAATCATGATCATTCATCTTACTGAGTAGAGGCAGCAGCTGGCATTAGAATGCTTTTGGTGCTTTTCATAATTTATTAGAACAGCATTTGGTGCTTTTCATAATTTATTCAGCATCACTCTTCAAAGTGTTGAAATTCTAAAAATAGAAAACTCACAAAATGAACAGACTGCATAAAAAGAGGAAGACTATCAACAAGATGGAATGACATCATGACTACCACAATAGACTTGAACATCAGAGAGACCATTAAGATGGTGTTGGATAGGGCAAGGTTCTCTAGAAGTTGTAGTAGTCAAATTGATAGCACCTAAAACAAGAAAGCATTAAAAGAAGACAGAAAGAATACAAAGAATCAGATTGACACTGAAAAACTTCAGGAAGCACCATATGAATAATATCCAATGATAACAAAGGAAGAAATTCAAGCTGAGCTGAAGACACCAGAAAAACAAACAAACAAACATGGCCCTAGGAATAGGCAGGATATTGATGGGCAGTTTTCAACTAACACATGCAACCTTGGACATGCTCTGTCAGGAAATGTGGAGGCCAGCTGACTGGCTGACTATTAAGAGATCCCTGTTTGTTCCCACTTTCAAGTATGGTCATCCAACAGAGTGTAGAAATTATCAAACAATATCATTGATATCACAGGCAAGCAAAATACTGCTTAAGATTATCCAAAAATGACTGGAAGAGAATATCAACAGAAAAGTGTCAGAAGTTCAAGCTGTATTCAGAAGAGGCCGTGGCACTAAGATATCACTGCTGATATCAGTTGGATCCTAGCTGAAAGCAGAAAATATCACAAGAATGTCTGTGTTTTATTCACTATTCAAAGGTATTTGGCTGTGCAGATCACAGAGAACAATGGCTGTCATTGAGAAGAATGGGAATCCCAGAACAGTTAATTGTGTTCATGTGAAGTCTATACTTAGATCAAGATGCTGTTATCTGAATGGAACAAAGAAACACTGTATGGTTTAAAATCAAGAAGGGTGTGCATCAGGGTTATATCCTTTCTCTATACCTATCCAATCTGTATGCTGAGCAAATGATTCGTGAAGCTGGATGCTATGAAAAAGAATGTGGCATCAGGATCAGAGAAGACTCATCAACAACCCATGCTATCCAGATAACAAAACCTTGCTTCCTGAAAGTGAGGTAGACCTGAAGTGCTTGTTGCAGAAGATCAAAAAATACAGCCTTCAATGAGAGAGAGGAAGATCCTCATTGAGATGGGTTGACATGGTGACTGCGGCAGGAGGCTCAAGTGTATCAGGCATGGTGAGGATGGCACAGGATAGGCCAGGATTCAGGTCTGCTGTTCACTGGGTTGACTCAATGGTACTTAACAACAACAATAAAGTGAGTAGAAGATCTGGTGAAAATAGGACAATAGCAATAATTCAGTAAGAAAGCGCATTACAAAACAGTATAATCTTAATTATATTTGTTTTAAAATTTCTAGATTATAGGATATATAAGTAAAAATAATAAAGTATTAAAAAAACTAACAAAGAAACATACCAAAATGTTAATATAATGGTAAGTAGTTTGTGTAGTTATGTATAGCTTTTGCTTGAATCTCTATTTGTTTTCCATGCTTTCCACATGTATACTGTACACATGTATATTAAAAACAGAAAAAAGAGATTGCTTTAAAAAAAACACGACAGGTTAAGTCATATTGGTCTTATACAATAGTTACTTGTTCTCTTATTCAATAGAGAGAATAAAACACACAATAGTTTTGTTGGGTATACATTACCCTGGCGTTTGAACTAACTCCAGAGGTTTCTGGCCGACTGTTAATCATACAGGAGGAGGTTGGCCAATTTTTTTTCCATTTTCTGCCCTTGAGTTGAGTGCGAATCACTGTGACCCTAAGAACAAATCTGAACCTTGTGCTATACCTGTTACCCTCATCATCTGAGCCCTCATCATCAACTCAGCTCACTGTAGCAGTCGCTGATGTGTGGATCCATCTAGTCAAGGGTGATAATGGCCAAGTTAAATGGAGGCAAACAGTTTTTGTTAGAGTATATTTCTAGGCACCATAGAATCGGAAACTGTCAAGGTCATGAAGCTTTCTCTGGTTATCTATCTATACCACAGACCAGAAAGCCTCGCCCACCACAGTGACAGAATTAACAATGTAACTACATGGACTATCCCATATTACCGACTTGGAGGAACAACTCTCAGCCTCCACTCTTCTAAGTGACACCAAGCCCCTCCGTACACACAGGAGCAGCACGTGTCAAGGCTTCAGCATAATGCAGACTCATTCCGCGAGGAGGGGCTACGAGCCGACAGAAATGTATTGGATAGGAAAAAGCTTTTTACAATCAGGAAAGAAATGTGAGTACCTAGGAAACCGAAGAAAAGGCATCCGATTCCCTGAGTGAAACGGAACCCTCGGCGACTGACAGCCGCGGGATTATTTTCACTTCCGGGTTCACTCCTCCAGGGGCAACACTTGCTCCCGCCTTCTCCTCCGTCTCAGCCTCTCCTCCGACAGTCAGTCCTTGTGCTTATGGAGGAGTCACAAAAGAAAAATATGGGTGTGAGTTAGAAAATTCTCAGACAAGAAGACCACGCCGAGAGCGGACTCCCGGAGTGGACGTGGGGGTGGAGGCGGGATGAACTACAACTCCCAGAAGCCACGAGCGGGGAATCTCGGGAGTGATTCGTCCCTACCGGCGCCCGCGCACGCTCGGCGATGACGGACCTCTGCTTGTCACGATTACGAGCAATGTGTTGTTTGTGAAATAGCCCATACTACCGATGTCCGTAGAATATTGTAATAAATTACGACTACGCATGTACATGAAAAAGAGATGTTGGGAGAAGCTCTGGTGGCCTAGTGGCAAGAAGCTGCACTGCAATCCCAGAGATATGCAGTTCAAATCCACCAGATGCTCTGCCGGAGAAGGAGGGGCAATCTCCTCCTGTACCAGTCAGATCCAATTTGACGGCACACACACATACACACACACTTAAAAAAAAAAAAAGAGAGAGATGTTGGTAGGTGCCTTTGTGCTGACTGTGACTCCTAGCGACCCTAGAGATCTGAACCCTGACTTGCACTCTGATTTCCTCCATGCTTACACCAATAAGAAACATTAAGATAGTTGGAGAAAATATTTACACTGCCAATGACTTCAACTTATTTGAATCCACAATCAATACACTTGGTATCAGCACGTAAGAGACTAGGAGACAAACTGCATTGGAAAGGTCTGCTGTCAGGAACCTCTCTAATGAGAAGCAATGATATTACTATGAAGACTAAGGTGCACCTGATTCAGGCCGTGGTCTTTTCACTCACTCGCTATGCATCTGAGAGCTGGACAATGAATAAGGATGACAAGAAGAACCGATATCTTTGAGTTCTGGTGTTGGAGAAGAGTACTGAATAGCCTGTGGATTGCCAAAAGGACAAATAGATATGTATGTCTTAGAGAAAATGCAGTCAGAGCACTCCTTAGAGCAAAGATGACAAAACTTCATCTCATTTATCTTACGCATATTTCTGGGAGAAGCTATTCCTAGGAGAGGGGCATCATTTTTGGAAAGGTGGAAGGCCAGCTAAGAGAAAAAGACCTTCGATGAGATGAATTGAGGCAGTGACTTGCAGAAATGAGTGCAGGTATGTCAGAGATGATGAGGACAGCACAGGAAAGGACAGGGTTCTTAGGGTTCCTCTGGGTCATATTTGACTCGACAGCATATCACAACAGTCACAACACACTCATTGCCTGTCCTGTGCCAATCCATCTGGTTGAGAGTCTTCCTCTCTTCTGCTGACCCTCTACCTTTCCCAGCGTAATGTCATTTTCTAAGGTCATTGCCTCCTGATAATGTGTCCAAAGTATGTGAAACCAAGTTTCATGACCCTGCACTCTAAGGAGCATACTTCCTCCAAGACAGATTTGTTTCTTCTCTTGGCAGTCCATGATGCATTCAACACTTTCTATCAACACCACAGTTCAAATGCATCGATTCTTCTGTTTTCCTTATTCATAGTCCAACTTTCAGATGCACACGAAGCAACTGAAGAGATCATGGCTTGGTCTAGGCATTCCTTAGTTTTTAAACTGACATCCTTGCTCCTCAGCACTTTGGTGAGGTCTTTGACAGCAAATTTTCCTAAAGCAATGTGTCTTTAGATTTCTTGACTGTTAGAACAAGTGGGGTATTGATTGTAGATCCAAGAAAATGAAATCCTTGACAATGTCAACCTTTTTTCAGTCTATCATGTAATTATTCCTAGAAACAGTTCTCTCTGAGAGAAGCAGAACAGGAAGGATAACATTTCTTCTTTTTAATTATTCAGATGATTCTC